ATAAAGTAACCAAAAAATGAAGCATACCTTAGCTCTCATGGTGGAAACTGGAAAGGCACTGAAATTTGCTCTTGCGGCGGAATTGTGGAAGACGATTTTGAGATTTCATGAGGAAAGAGAAAAAATTTCGATGGATGAAGACATGGGCAAAACAATCATCACGGTTGAAAGAAAATTTTCATTTCCGTGGCAGTAACAGTCGAATCCAACTAAACCAACTGATTAAATAATTGGACTTTTTAACAGCCCAAAAAAGCCCCACTTATTGGTGCCCTTGTTTTCATCAGAGGATGGACATGGATATTGTGAAAGGGTAATATTGGCAGGTCCAAGGCTTCAAGGGCCTGATGGTCCACCCAAATCAATATTTCCAATTGTTAGTCACTATGGAGCCAAGTTATTTACATCAACACCATTGTTGGGTCAAAAATGGATTGCTGGATTGAAGAAGTAGATCGACGACAGCTAATCAAAACAAAACGGCGCTGTAAAGCTCCGAATCATAAGCAATGACACGTGGACCCAAACCAATCCCCACAATCCAGAAAAACCCGTCAAAAACCTCAGACGTTCCGCTTCTCTTTCTATGTCCAGAAAATGCCTTCCATCTCCATTTCCGTAGCCATGAGCTGCTTCGCTCGCCCTCAATCTCAAGCTCAAGCTCGCTCCAAAGCCAGAGGCATTTCTCAAAGAGAAACCCCAATTCGAGGTTCAAACCTAAAAGGAGCACTAAGTGCGAGCCCCTCTCTGTGTCTGCTCCTTCTTCAGGCGTAGAAGCCACCACCTACACTCGCCTCCCTTCTAAACAAGACTTCTCTGCTCCATCCTCTGAATCGTCCAACGAAATCAAGCTTTTTGGTTCTGATATCGCCCAATTCGACTGCAATGATTTGTCTGGGACGGAAACGGATAGCGGTTAAGAGGAGGAAGCTGAGGAAGGACTCCAACATGAGCAATTTGAGGGTTTCCATGGAAATTCGGAGTATGAAGACGAGGGGGAGGAGGATTTTTATTATGATTCTGAAGGGGAAATTTTTCGTAATGGCGATTTCAAATTGGGGACTTTGTCGGATAATGTGGGCGATTTGGAAGTGAAGGAGAGGCGGATACCGGCCGTAATGCGATGCTTTGACCGGACTAAGATTTATGTTAAAGCGGGTGGATGCGGGGAATGGCGTTGTTGCGTTTCGTCGCAAAAAGTATGTTCGTTTGGGGGGACTGTCAGGTGGGGATGGAGGGAGGGGAGGGAACGTGTATGTGGAGGTGGATGCGGCAATGAATTCTCTGTTGCCTTTCAGAAATGGAGTGCATTTTAGGGCTGGGAAAGGAGGGCACGGCCAAGGGAGGATGCAGAAAGGGGGGCAATGGAGAGGATGCGGCTGTGAAAGTGACGCCGGGGACGGCTATCAGGGAGGCTGGGAGGGAGGAGGTATTGTTGGAACTGTTGTATCTGGGACAGCGAGCATTGCTGCTTCCTGGTGGGAGAGGTGGCCGAGGCAATGCCTCTTTTAAGTCTGGCGCCAATAAAGTTCAAAGGTTGGCCGAGAATGGTGAACAGTGTCCAGAAATGTAAGCCCTGTTCTTTATCTCAAGAAAAAGTTTTGTTGATCAGTGCCCTTCGTTTTTGTTGCCTGTGTTTTTTTGCTATGTCTAACTTTTAGCATTAAGACTGATAGTTTTATATGGTTTTCAAATGATAGCTGTAACTTAAGCCAATGCTTTTGCTATTTTCAGATCAATTTGATCTGTAGGTTTGGTGCATGAAATAGAGGCTATCTATGTTTAGATGAAGCTGGATCTCTTTATCATCTTTTGCCAATATATATGTGTAACATTTTGAATTCCAATGATTGGTTGTTTTATTTCCTTAATGCTCATTCCTTTGTTGAGTGGCCAACTTTCTCTTCTATTATACTCTTCTATTATACACACTAGGACTAATGGTATTTTTAATCACGTGGTTGGAATTGGAGTTAAAGCTGATTGCAGATGTTGGAATGGTAGGTGCTCCAAATGCTGGGAAAAGCACACTATTGAGTGTGATAAGTGTTGCTCAGCCAGCAACAGTAAATTATCCTTTTACAACTTTACTTCCCAATTTGGGAGTAGTTTCATTTGATTATGATTCTACTATGGTAGTAGCAGATCTGCCAGCTTTACTTGAAGAAGCACACGGGGGGTTTGGTTTATGTCATGAGTTCCTACGGCATACCAAAAGATGTTCTGCACTGGTGTAAGCTTCTTTTCACACATTGCAACTTCTATGAAGTTAAAGTCCTTGAGACTCGGAGGTATTACAATTTTGGTGCATTCAAACGACAATATAAATGTTTGGGCAAAAAAATGATAATATAAATGTGATGTGATCTTCTTCAACTGCTTAAGTTTCATCTCCTAAAGCTTATCTATTTGTTAATTTGAAATGAAATGTTTGTTCTTCAACTTTGATGAACACCACTTGTAATGGGTATTAATTTTATTTTCTTTTATTTTATTTTTTTGTCTTATTGAGAGAAGGTTAAAGATCAAAACTAACTCTGTAGCTATAACCAAAGGGTGACCTTAACTTCACATCTGTTTTCTGTTTTGTAGATTCATGTTGTTGATGGTTCCTCTCAGCAGCCAGAATTTGAGTCTGATGCTGTACGTCTTGAGCTGGAAATGGTTAATCCTGAACTTGCAGAGAAGCCTTATATAGTTGCCTATAACAAAATGGATATTCCAGAGGCATATGAAAATTGGCCTTCATTTAACCAAAAGCCTACAAGCACGTGGAATTGAGCCCTTTTGCATGAGTGCAGTGAGCAGAGAAGGCACACACAAAGTTGTCTGTGCTGCTTCTGAGCTTCTTCGGAAGTGTAAAGAATCCAATATGGAGTTTGAAGGTCATATTTTTATATGGTTTAGTTCCTTGAATTTATTATATTGCATCCTTATTTATATATATTTCATTTTCTATGCTATGCAATCTTGTCATGATCCCTTTATGGACAAGTCTGTCTACTTTAAGTTTGACAGCACCAGAAGATCTGAATCACGTGGCTGATATGATACATAAGCAGTGCAGTGCCTCTATTGATGAGTTTGAGATCATTCATGACAGTAGTTCAAATACTTGGCACGTAATTGGAGCAGGATTACAACGTTTTGTTCAGATGACAAACTGGCGGTAGGAGTTTGAAGTTATTCCTTTGATTGTAGCCTTGCTAGCCTATCTGCTATCCTCTTTCACTTGCTCTCATGCATTTCTATTTTGTCCTGTTTCATGATCATCCCAAAGCACATTATGTTTTGAATTATAACTTTACGAACCTTCTAATCTGTGAATGTTATACATTCATGAAAATGAAATCATTTTCATTTCAAAGAGAAATGAACTTAAAAATGTATTCGTAGGAGTACTTGAGAGCAGCCATGTACCAGGTTAAAGTACCACCAAACAACAAACAACAATTTACATACTTTCTTTGATATACCTATCTTTTTGTCTTTCTGGCTTATCTTGAACATCGCCAATACTGCTTTTGATATAAATTGTGATTCTTTTGAACCAGATATATGGATTCTGAGAAAAGGTTCCAACATGTTCTCGAGGCTTGTGGTGTGCATCGTTCTCTTATGAAGCTTGGTGTCAAAGAAGGTGATGCAGTAATAGTTGGAGAGGTATGTTCATACTGTTCTATAATTTGCTATAGCATGTTTGTTTTCCCTTGTGATGCATTTGGTATACGTATAAGCAATTTACTTAAACAGATCAACACATGTAATATGCTTACATTGATGCCCCTACCTTTAAACCTGTCTGTTTTTGATATATGGTTTCCAATTAAATTTCACTTCATTGTGTGTCCATGACAACAACCAGTCAACATGTAACACTTCACAATAAAACCAATTCTAATGATAACAAACAAACTTAAAGTTGGATGATAACTTGTGGTACAAAGCAAGATTCAATTTGAGACCTGAGGGTATCACCAGAGCGTGCACGTTAACCACCAGGCCAAGGTTTTATTGACAGACATATTGTCTCGTTAACCATCCATCTTTTAAAACTTTGATTTTTGATGATATATGACAGTTCAGAAAACATCCACTTTTAAAACTGGTATCCCATTCAACTTGGAGCCTGTATAATACAAGTTCATTTTTAAAATCTCAATAACAACTTGCTTTGCCTCTGCTAGATGGAGATGGTGTGGCATGACTACACTGGAAATTCTGGTCAACCAAACATGAGAAGAAGATCAACAGAATCCCTCAAATCGGCTCAGTGGGGAAGTAATCAACATTTTTTTTTCCTTTGTACACTGCTGGTATTAGCAGGTTGGCAAATTAAGAACAAAAGGTAATAGATCATAAGATCACTAGTTTTAAGAGCATAAAGTTGCCTTTCAATTTGTTTTCTATAGTTCAGGAATTATCTTCATTTGCAACCTAGATGATGAAGAGTATTTAAGTTTTAGAAGAAATGTTTTAACTTTTTACTAATATTCAACTGAAGTGTAAAATTAATAATATATATTTTTAACTGGTATATATTTATCTGTTAACTTCTGAGCTTGCAACAAAAATTACATAAAATTTTTCTAAATTCTTGTTCTAATTTGATTTTCTACATTGTAGTATAATATTTTTTCCTTCAATATATACTAATCTATTTTTACATTAATCACAAAACAAAAGAAAAAATTTTCTAAGGAAACAGTTGCTAATATGTTCTATTTTGTTTATTCTCTATTGATAAGGTTATGTATCATATGGATGCAGCAACAATAATGGAGGTTCTAAGTTGAAAATGGCTGAAGTGGTGGTAATGCTGCTCATTGTCATGGTCAACTTATAAATCAATATAAGGTACTGGATCCTAACAGTCAATGTTAACACTGTCAAGTCATGGGCAACAAACAAGATTTAGTTTAGGATTGAGTAGTTGAAATTAGAACTGTTGGGAGTGTGTTTTTCATTTATGAGTTCCATGTAATTTAGACAAAAAATTTGGAAAATCAAAACCATAAGTAAAATTCATCATGTATTCTAGACCTTCAAATTTACTCCAACAATTTAATTCGTAATGAAAATTCGATTGAGGGAGGTTCACATGTTTTGAGGGAAATCAAAACCATGCACATTCGTGGTGGTAGATGCTGATCTACTTCATATCATAATGTCGACATCACATGTTTTGTTCTATGGCATCTTCAGTGATGAATCTGCATCTCACACTTCAAATCTACAAAATATCAGAAACACCTGTACGGGCTAGTCTATTATGTTTGTATAATCAGAAATAATGCTACATCATAGATCAGCTTCAATTATTTGTGAACGATGCAAGAAAGATATGAAAGAAAGGTGGTTTTAAAGGAAAAGGGAAATAACTATAGAGAACTGTTTGTTGATTCTCTGATTAGATTCTGCAGCCATTCATGAGATTGATGATTCAGAATTCTGTTATACATTATCCCATGTAATCAGAAACCAAAAAAAAAAAAAAAGGTCCAATCACCAGAATTCATCATATTTCTAAATCCTGTGTATGATCATCAAAAATTAAAGAGTATCTGAAACAGGGTCAACCTAAAAATTAACCAAACACCATGCAAAGGTGTAAAATTTCCCATCTCCTAGACTGGATGACTTAACCCCACAAGATAGCATGTCCTCTCATTGTCCCATGAGAAGATCTGCCATTATAGGGTGGGGGCTGACCGGCTGAGCCATTGAGATTCTGAATTTTACCCTCTTATAATTTCCCTGGTTTGTGTTGGAGCTCCATTTGAAAAACAATTTATAACAACATGGAACCAAATTCGAGCTTTACGTTCTAAACCAAGCTCATTCCTTATTTCTGCTGCATAACACACCATAAAAAATCTATGATTTAAAAATTGAACTTGTTTAAGTAAATGAATCAAACTCGATGCCATAATGACATTGCAGTAACTCTAAGTAGCTCGACTTGTTGACACCCTTGTTGGTATCAGAAGAGGCAGTTGGGAGAATTGTTAGGGGCATTATGGCAGGGCCAAGGGTTCAATGGCATGGTTGGACAAACAAATCAATGTCTCACATTATAAAAGTTACTGACAAGATCCATGGACAGCAGATACAAACAATTTTTCTAGGCTGGAAAATTGTACTGGAGTACCCTCAACCACATTGCACGTTTTAAAAAACAATATAAAGGTATATGTTTCTCAAATTCAAACACTCGAACAAAATCTTTTGAATCAGATATAATTCAATTGAAGTAACAATATCACTCTTCTTGGAGGAACAAATGGTACATAGTAATAAAAATTAATGATGAGAAACAAACAGAAATCATATACCAGAATTCAAATCTGTAAAATTATGTAGTTGATGCCAAGGAATTGAAAATGCATATGCCTTTTAATGAAGTATAACTAGTGTAAACTTTGGTTTGGTTTTTACCTGCAACAGTTTTCCTTCAAAGTAACACATGAGAGATAAAGGTATGTTCCTAATTGATTAAAATTGAGCACCTCCAAGAACATCCTGTATGATCCAAAATTTTTCAAGAAGCAAGTTTACCGTAAGACTAAGTCCTCACTCAATTCTCAAATAATAATTAGGAGACATGATAAAATATTTAGAAAGCATACCAAAATCATCTTTTGCTTGGTGAAGCTACTTTTATTCCATTCCTCTGCTATTGCTTGCTTCTTGGATGAGGGTCAGTTTGGTGTTTTAAGGCAAATAGTGTTTATGTTTCTTCAAGGGAAAAGTAATTCCATGCCTGCAACCAAAAATGAATTCCATTTGTGTATATATGTTTTGCAACGAGAAAGGATATAACTAATATGGATCTTAGTTCCAATTGTAAAAGAAATAATAATAATGCAATTGACAAAGAAAACTTTGATTCACAAAATTAACATAACATATGTGCTCCAAGTTGCTGGAAGTTTTGGAGTCTGTTGATTTCAATATAAGCTTCAAATGAAGAATGCAACAGTTTAGTGTTGCAGTCACATTTTATACATAAGACCAAAGGTCTTTTATACAGCTAATATCTTTATTCACATAAACAAACTGCTGAAGAAAAACTATATAAAATAGCAATTCAAAATGGAGAAGATAGAAAATTAAGAAGTCTTCAAGTTGAACATTGGGAAAAGGAATTGAGGAGCCTCATTCAACATTTGAGTCGATATAGTTTATTGTATTGCTCCCAAAATTGACAGAAAGACAAAGACTTAATTGATAGAATGAGCCAATGAGGAGAAAATTAGTGTTGGGAATTTATAAATTATTAAGAAGTGTAGTTGCGGGAAAAAGAGGAGTTGGGATTTCAGAAATCAGGCATACCTGTTGCCTCTTGCAAACCTCAATCTTGGGATTAGATGATGGGCTTCTCATTTATGTAGATGCTGGGAATGTGAGAAATTTTGGACCACTCAGGACCGCTTTCCTTGGCGCATCTTTCCTCTAACAAGGAGCAATCACCAATGCCAAGAACCCGCAATTTGGAGAGTGGTCGAAAGGCTTCCGCAGAAGGCAGTTGTTTCAGATTCTTGCAGCTTCGAACAACTAGACATTCAAGGGAGGATAAGTTTCTCAACCACTCTGGTAAAACTTCCACTCCATCAAATCCGGATACCGACAAGTACTTTATAGCAGTGAGGTGTTGAATTTGATGAGGCAATTGACTTAGCTTTTCCCAACCAAGCAAATACAACTGCTCAAGGGAGGTGTTGATGGAATTCAAACCCGGGAATTCCTCCAACTCTTTTGAGAAACCACCAATTGACAACCTCTTCAATTGAGTTAGACGGCCGAGAACTTCCTCTGAAATAGAGACAAGATTAGGACAATCCTGTATAGCAAGTTTGTCGAGACCGGTGTAGAATGACAGCCCACTCAATAAACATCTTAATCCAGAACAAGAATCAACACGCAATTTTTTTAGGGACGATAAGTTTCCTAACCATTCTGGTAATGTTTCCATGTCATCAAACTTACTTATAACCAACTTCTTTAGAGCATTAAGGTGTTGAATTTGAGGTGGCAATGTAGTTAATTTTTTCCATCCATGCAATCGCAACTCCCGGAGGGAGGTCTGCAGGCAAAGAATGGAGCCAAGCCCAGGGAATTCCTCTAGCTCTTCCCCAAAACCACCAATACTCAATTTTTTCAAGCTAATAAGACAGGCGAGGGGATTCTCTGGGATGCTTCTCAATTTTGAACAATCTACAATTTTTAACTTAACAAGAGAATGTAATTCCTTCAATTCTTCTGGAATGGAGATCAAGTTATGGCACCTGCTTACTATCAGATTTTTAAGAGCAATGCAGGATGACAACCCGCTTGGTAGACACTCTATTTCACATTCAGACAAATGTAACCTTTGAAGAGAGGTAAGCCCATCTACACTTGGAATAAACCTCAGATTAGGAAGCCCAATCAGATAAATGGTCTGAAGAGATGTAAGCCCATCAATACTTGGAATAAACCCCAAATTCGGAAGCTTTTTCAGAGATAACCACTCAAGGCACTTAGAGGCTGGTAGTATATCTCCAATGTTGCTTACAGAGCACTCGGAAATGACGAGTGTCTGAAGTGATTGTAACCCACTTGTTGGAACACTTTCCAACATCTTGCACTCTATAATTCTCAATAGCACCAAGTTCTCGATCAAAGACATTTCATTACTGTAACTACAATCACTCTTCAACATCCATGACGGTAAGTTTTTACCTCCATAACCACCAACAGTTAATCTTTGCAGATTTGAGTGAGGTTGGAGGCCTTCTAAAACATCTTCATCCTGATTGCCTTTTTTTCCCCACCATAATGTCAACTCATAAATTACCTTCTCATGTAATTTTGCTCTCATGGCTTCTGATTTGTCTTTAACAAGATCAAGGTTACAGATCTCTAAGCTTCCTCTCAATTGGCTTAAACATCCCAATTCTTCAATTTTACGCCCCTTTGTTGCACCCACAAAGAACAATGGCAATGTTTGAAGATTTGTCAGTCGCCCAAGGTTTGCAGGCATATTCTCTTCATAAGAGAAGTAAACGTGCCTCAAGTTGATTAAACTTCCTATTCCTTCAGGAGGCATTTTGATAGATCTGCAATTAAGATATCTAAATGTTTGTAAATTGTATAGATTAGTAACGAACCTGGGCACTTCTTTTATTTGAGTTCTAGAAATGTCTAAGTATCTCAAACTCTTCATGTTGCCAAAACATGCCGGCAATTCTTCAGCATCAAAAGCATAAGGAAAATTGAGAACCCGTAACTTTTTAAACTTCCTTGACATGCCACGGGGAAAACCATGCTTTGAAAACAAAGTGTGTAGCTGAGCAACATCTCCTAAAGTTGTTGGCACCATTTGCTGATCACAGATGAGATTCAAATGTCTACAACTAGAAATATTGCTCCTTGAAGAAAGAGTCTCCAAAATCACTGTCTCAGATTTTGAAATGGATTGTGCAAAATCATGAATCAAATCATGCATTTTACAACCAACAATGCTCCCGAATGAATCTCTGCACTCCTGTTGAAATAAAGAATATGATAACAAGTCATTGAAATACTCGTCGCCAATATCCTCCAGCATCATAGAAGTTTCTTTAGGCAATTGAAGGAACCCTTCTGCCATCCATAGCTGAATTAAAATCTCCCTTCTCATGACATAATCTTTGGGATAAATACAACAAAATGCAAAACATTGCTTCAAACCTGGCTTCAACAAGTTATCAAAACTCAATTGTAATATATGCATAATTCCATCATCCTGATATTCAAGTGAACCCAGTGCATCAATCTTGCTTTTGATTGGCAACCATTCAGCTTTATCTGGCCTTTTGGTGCATAAAATCCCCCCTATAACACTTGCAACTAACGGCACACCTCTACATTTTCTTGCAAAATCCCGTCCAATATTCTCCAATTCTGAATCTAAATGTTTAGAAGCATCTCCAAATACTTTCAGCTTAATTATAGACCAACATTCAACATCTTTTAGTAGCCCAAGATAATGCATGTGCCCGGGAAGTGTTCCCATTGTCAATGCAACATTTTTATCCCGAGTTGTTACAAGAACTCTATTCCCTGACATCTTACACATCCCCAACAAACACCTCTTCAAGTCTTCCCATTTCTGACTCTCTTTATTCCACACATCATCCAGTATGAGAAGATAATTTTTTTCCCCAATAGCTGATCTTATTTTTTGAACCACAGTGTCTTTGTTCCTTATTGCATCGGATTTCTCGCTAAGAGACTCCAACATTTCTGCTAAAATCCTCTCTACATCAAAATTTTCAGACACACAAACCCACATTATTTTACCAAAATGGTTTTGAATTTGGTCATGACTACGCACAGACTGTGCTAGAGTGGTTTTGCCGAGACCAGCCATACCCACTATAGACAGGACACACAGGGGTAGTCCATCAGTTGGATCAGTCAACAACTGCACTATTTTAGAGACATCATCTTCTCTCCCCACAAATTGTGAGAAAGTACCAATAAAAGATTGGGTCTGTAAATTTCTTCTTTGTTGATAATTGGTGGTAGCAAGTCTGGATTGAAGTCCAAACCCATGGGCCTCATTGTTAATACCATCCACCATTGCAATAACTTTCTTAATCTTATGAGCCATCCTTAAGCCAAATGCCAAGGGATTCTTGGGGGTAAAAAAGTAACGCACCTTTTTCATCATCTGATTTTGAATCTTCATCCTGCGCTTCACACTTTCATAAGCAACTTCATCCAGTATGTAATCAGCATCATCAGCCACTTCCCTGAGCTTGAGGAGCCATCGCTTCACAGCCGGGTCTGTCACTTGCCTTTGTCCAGCATCTTGCAACACAGCCTGAATCAAGACTAGCTTGTCTTGGAGCATGATGAGTTCCTGCTTCCAGCTGACTGCAAGGCTGACTTGCTGAGCAACAGCCGAAATCAGGTTGGATACGGTGGTATCAACAACGGGAGAAAGGATGAGATCACCCATTTGTGCTTCAACAGCTTGGAGAAAACTAAGAAAAGCTTGAGGTTGAGTAGTGCTCTGTTAAGCAGACGAGAAGACTAGAGTGCATATGATACAGAAGTAAACGACAGTGAGTCAATATCAACTGTACAAAACTTTTCTTTATTTCTTTTTTTATTATAACCAGCACTATGGTTAATTGATTTCTTGATCTTATAATAATTGTCATTTGATATATAAAAATTTAACATAACCTCCCAAAATTTTTGTTTATTTTGTTGTCGCAGAAGTTTTTTTAACTTTAATTTTAAGTTATATAATAAAAAATAATTTTTTATTACTCCATTCATCTAAATTATATGTCACAAGATTTATATTTAAAATTTTTATTTTAATAAAAAATTATTATTAAATTATTTAAATTATAAACTTATTATAACA